GACAGGCCCTCTCTGCCTGAGGAGACTGCCCTGGGCTGGGTCATGGAAGTCAGCCATAATGGGGGGAGAGGGAGCAATTCTGGAAGCTTCTAGAGGAACGGCTGGGGTGACTCCAGAACGGGGGGAGGCCAAGGTTACCTGACCCTTGTGCCCGTCCCCCAGGAAGGCTGTGGAATGACACCAAATGCCAACCCATCCCAAATTTACAATATTGACCCCTCCCGCTTTGAAGATCTCAACCTGGCCGGGACAGCAGAGGTGGGGCTGGCAGGTGAGCATCTGCCTGGGTGTGAGGGGCACAGCTCCCTGCAGAGGACAGATCACCGCCCTGCAGCTAACACATGCAGTTGTGTGGGTTGGTGACTGCTCCACAGTACAGTGACTAGCCGTGTTCTCTGACTGGGTTCTCTAAATCTCACTCCAAATTCTGTGGAGATGGCAAGCCTGGCTAACCCCGTCCTGCCTCTTTCTCCTCCCAGGGTACTTCATGGACCACTCTGTAGCTTTCAAGGACCTGCCAGTCAGGTGATGCCCAGTTTCTTTAACCCTAGACCCCGCTGGTAATATCTCCTGCCCTCCCTGACCCGGCCTCACATGCTCCTACTAGGATGGTCTGTGCTAGCACCTGCTACCGGGCGGAGACCGACACCGGGAAGGAGCCTTGGGGGCTGTACCGAGTGCATCACTTCGCTAAAGTGAGTGGCGCAGATCTAGCCGGCCATGCACAGGTCGTCACCACCCAGAACCTCCTGACCCGGTGCTCCTGCTCTGTCCTAGGTGGAGATGTTTGGGGTGACAGCCCCTGGGCTAGAGCAGAGCTCACAGCTGCTGGATGAGTTCCTGTCCCTGCAGGTGGAGATCTTGACTGAGCTGGGCTTGCATTTCCGGTGCGGAGATGGGTGGGCCCGTTGGGGTTGAGGAAGGGAGTGGGGCTGACTGGGCTGTCCTGCCACCTGCTCCTTTGCCTCCTTTCCCCTGGGCGAGGCCTCTGGATGGTATAATCTCTGTCTGCATTATCTTGCTTTATAGGAGTTTGAAAGCACGCACGGTAGCACGGTAAAGCTGTTCCCTGACACCCCTGGGGCAGCTCACCATCCCTAGAGTGAGGTCCAAAAGACCTCCTCGTCCTGCAGAGTGAAGCAGAGGTGGGAAAGGGAGGGACCAGATATCACAAGGGCTACTCATCCTTTAGGGCACACAGCTTTCCAGAGGGCTGAAGAAGGCCAGTTCTTCCCCAAGTGACTCATTGTGCAAAACAAAACATAAAAACTTGAGAGTGTGCAGTCAGGCGGGGCATCACACAGCTATAATCCCTAACACTTAAGAGGCTGTGGCCAGATTTTCATGAGTTCAAGACCAGCCTGAACTATAAAGGGGGTCTCAAAATAACTAAGTAAATAAAACAGAAAAGCCTTGATGTAGTGGCCCATACTTAAAATCCAAGCACTTGGAAGACTGAGGCAGGAGGATTGCTCTGAGTTTGAGGCCACCCTGGACGACATGTGGCCCTATTTCGAAGGGAACAGAAAACAAGCTCAGAAAAGTGCCTACTCTGCGATCATGAGCACTTCATTTCTGACCCCCAGCACCCATATAATAGCTGGGGTGATGGCGTGTATGTAACCCCTGTACTGCAGAGGCAGAGACAAGCGGATCCCCAGAGCTCGCTGTCCAGCGCAGCCAGTGAGCACATACAAAACAGCCTAGAGGTGCACACACACCTACCTAGAATCCGGTCACTTGTGAACATTCTCAGCTACATAGTGAATCCTAGGCCAGCCTGGGCTACATGAGATGCTATCTCAAAAAAACCATAAAAAACAAAACAACAACAACAGAAAACAGAACTCCAAAACTGGAGATGCTGTTCTAGGCCATAACAATGGTTGGGTAAGTAGCCCATAGACTGCTATATGGCCGTCCTTCCATCCCCTCTGGGTACCACCACCCCCTCCCCCGTGCCAGGTTCTCTTCCTTCCCCCCCCCCCTCCCCATACAGGGTTTCTCCATATAACAGTCTTAGCTGTCCTGGAATTCGTTCTGTAGGCCAGGCTGACCTCGAGCTCACAGAGATCCACCTGCCTCTGCCTCCCAAGTGCTGGGATTAAAGGCGCTCGCTGCCACCACCTGGCCTCTGTGTTCTTCTTATCCCTTTCTCTCCTTTTTACCTCCACATCCTCGTCCTCTCTCACTGAGCATCCTTTACCCTGGCCCCATGACCTCTACCCTGTTTCTGACTTTGACCTCAGGGTGCTGGACATGCCCACCCAGGAACTGGGTCTCCCTGCTTACCGCAAGTTCGACATTGAGGCCTGGATGCCTGGCCGAGGCCGATATGGAGAGGTGAAAGCCCTGGCTTAGTTGGGATGTGTGGTGAGACACTGGAGGGTGGGCCTGTCCCCCAAGACAGCCTCTCAATCACCCCTGCTCCAGGTCACCAGTGCCTCCAACTGCACAGACTTCCAGAGCCGCCGCCTGTATATCATGCTTGAGACGGAGACTGGGGAGCTGCAGTTTGCACACACGGTGAGGCCCACACTGCATTTCCACTTCCCCATCCTCGGCAGCACCTCACCCCGCTCCCAGGGCCAGGACAGAGCCTGGTCCTGAGCACACCCTTCCCCCAGGTGAACGCCACGGCTTGTGCTGTTCCCCGAGTCCTCATTGCCCTTCTGGAGAGCAATCAGCAAAAGGTGAGAGATCCCCAAGCCAGGAATCTCAGGCTTGACAGAAGGACTGCAGGTTCAAGCCTGTCTGGGAATCTTAGTTATTTCAAGTGTAAAAGTAGAAAAGGGCTGGGGTGTGGCTCAGTGGTAGAGCCCCTGCCTAGAATCCCCCAGTGAGGGGCTGGGGTGTGGCTCAGTGGTAGAGCCCCTGCCTAGAATCCCCCAGTGAGGGGCTGGGGTGTGCCTCAGTGGTTAAGAGTTTCCTTGGCATGGGGGAGATCCTGGGTTCTACTGGCAGTCCTGGAAAGAGGAGGAATAGTGTGAGAGTTTGAGACTTGCACTAGCAGCAGAGAGGACAGTTGGGGGAAGAGTAGCATCCTGATACTGCCCTGTCCACAGGATGGTTCCGTCCTCGTGCCCACTGTCCTCCAGCCCTACCTAGGCACTGACCGGATCACAGCCCCCAACCATGTGCCTCTCCAGTACATCGGCCCCAACCAACCCCAGAAGCCCAGGCTTCCCGGCCAGCCTGCTGCCAGCTGACAACTGTCTGCCCTGGAGGTTGGCACTCTAGAGGCCCCAAACGCTAGAACCTCTACCCTCCCCTCCTGAACTCCTGGTGTACCCCTCTTCCTTCCCTGCCACTGAATTATTGTCAGTGACCCCTACTGTCACTGGGCTGTCAGCCAGAGGCATGTCTCAGCCGTGATAGGACAAAGGAGATCTGGAGAGAGCCATAGCACGCCATCCCGTCTTCCTCCTTCCTGCCTCCATGCCGAGCAGAGGACCCACAATAAATGGTCACAGAGCAAAGTCTTCTGGATCTGTGAGCGAGAGAGGTGCTAGGTGACATGCCATGTCATTCAAGCGCCCGTGGCTGCCCACAAGGCTCAAGATGGGTGACTTGAGAATCCCCAGGGGACCCGAAAGGAAGCCAAAGCCTCTCTTCCTCTGGGACAAAAAAGCCGTCATCCTCGGGTGGCTCCCTCAAACTGAGCCAGCTTTATCCTATCCTTTGTCCAGAGTGTCACCTCCTTTGCACACCTCACCCCTTCACAGGCACTCCAGGCCCCTGGCCTACACTGCCAGCTCCTCTGCTGGTGGATTTCGCTCAGCACCTTGAGCAGCCCCAGCCACCCTTCGGACTGCCCTCGGTGTTTTTCCACCTCCAGTGGGTTAGCAAACCTGCGGCTTCACCTTCAGAATGTTCCAGGACTGTGCCATTTGCCCTCTCCCTCCTCCTTCCTTGATCCTATTCTTCAGCTGGCCACTTGGTCTCCCACCTCCCTGTCTCTGCTCCCTGCGGCTGCCCAGAGTTGTCAGAGTAAAAGGCAACAGTGCCTTGCCATCTTCCTCTGCCAGAGTTACTGTCACCGTGTTCTCTTCTGCATAGGCCGTATCTGTGAATGTTGACTGTCTGGCTTTTCACCTGTCAGCTCCAGCAGGACTGGGACGTTGGCTGCTTTATTAGCTGCTGTAGATCCAGGTCTGTGGAGAAGAGTTGGCATACAGTGCAGATTACTGGGGGAATCTGCTGCGGCTCAGCTGGCAGAGTACTTGCTTGGCATACACAAAGCCCTGGGCTCAATTCCCTAGCTTAGAATTACTGGGCATTTTAGTATGTGTCTGTAATCCCAGCATTTGGGAGGCAGAGGCAGGTGGGTTTCTGTGAGCCAAACCTGGTATGCATAAATTCAAGGCAGCCTGGTCCTGTCTCAAAATATAAACTATGGTGTGGTGGCACCCATCTCTGGTCCCAGCATGGGGGATGCTGAGGCAGGAAGATCAAGAATAAAAGGCTTGCAAGCTGTGGTATTGCGTGTCTTTAATGTCAGCACCTGGGAGACAGACAGGTGGATCTCTGAATTTAAGGCTAGCCTGATCTACATAGCAATTCCATGCCAGCCAGAGCTGCACAGGGAGATCCTGTCTTAAAATGAGCTGAGCCAGGCCATGGTAGAGCCTGCCGTTAGTCTCAGCACTCGGGCGGCAGAGGCAGGCGTTTTTCTGTGAGTTTGAGGCCAGCCTGATCTACAGAGTGAGCTCCAAGACAGCTAGGGCTAGATGGTGTAGCGAAATTTATAAAAACCCAGAGACAAAATTGGAGTCCAACCTGAAAACCAAAAAAGCAAAGCAGCCAAGCAACTAGAGAAAAAAGTCTCTACGAAGCCTGGGCGACCACAGACTAAGCCTCTCTTCTCCCATTTTATGTCCCCTCTAGTGCTGGATTAAAGGTTTGACTCCCTAGGATTGGGATTAAAAGTGTGAGCCACCACCACTGGGATTTGTTTCTGCCATGATCTTGTTTTTTTTTTTTTAATATTTATTTATTTATCTATCAAGCATTTATACAGTATTCTGTCTGCATGTATGCCTGCAGGCCAGAAGAGGGTATCAGGCCTCATTACAGATGGTTGTGAGCCACCATGTGGTTGCTGGGAATTGAACTCAGGACCTTTGGAAGAGCAGGCAATGCTCTTAACCACTGAGCCATCTCTCCAGACCTCTGCCACGATCTTGTATAGCCCAGGGTGGCCTTGAACTCGGAGATTTATCCAAATCCTGGGATTAAGGGTGTGTGTCACCATTGCATAACCTCTAGTAGCTTTAGCTAGCTTTGCTTCTGTTCTTCTGGCAAGATTTATTTATTAAAATACAAATAATATGCCACTACAACACAGATTCTGTCTCAAAAAGAAAAAAAGAAACAAGATTTGAAGAGCTGGCTCAGCAGTTGAGAGCACTCACCCACTGCTCTTGAAGGGCTCAAGTCCAGTTCCCAGGAGCCACATCTGGTGGCCCACATCAGCCTGTGACACCAGTTTTAGCTCCTTCAATGCCCTCTTCTGGACTCCATGGCCACCACACTAGTGTGTACATACCCACCACACACATACCTGCAATTTAAAATAAAGGACCCTGTCTCAACGAAACAAAATTAGACTTTTGGATATTATCTGTGCTGGTTCACACTTATAACCTCAGCATTTTAAAAGCTAAGGCAAGCTAAGGCAGAAGGATTGCCACAAACCTGAGGCCAGCCCTGGCTACATAGCAAGACCAAGACCCTGTCTTTAAAAAGTGGAGAGCAACAGAGGAAGATACCAGCTTCCACGTGTGCACACACACTCACGTGGTGCTGGGGTGCCATGCAGCCCTGTGAAGTTCCCAGTGGAGAACACTGCCCAGCACTCCTCATATCCTCACCCAACAGCGCTGGAGTGGGTTGTCACCAAAACTTCCTAAAAGTAAGAAAGCTTAAGCAATAGTCTCAGCACTGCACAGCTGGTGGCTGGCGGAGCAGGGACTTGGCCAGAAGGAGTGTGAACCTATTAGGAGGTAGATATAGGAGGATCTACTTTCCAGATGTGGAAAGCGTTGAGAAAAGGAGAGTTGCCCATTTCCCAAGTAAGTCTCTGGGAGAGCCTTTCCCCCACCCCCACTCCGTGTTTCTGGGCCAGAAGCCTGGAGGGGTGTGCATGCTTGAGTGTGGGTTCCCATGAATAATTGAGGGTCCTGGAGCGCCCCACAGCTGTCCCCTCTCCCTGAGCCAGGGAGGGGGTGGTGGTGGTGACATCATTTTCTCCCCGGCTGGGGCCACTTCACCAGGGTTATAAGGCTCTGGCACAGGCTGGCTGCTCAGCGGAGAGGTCCAGGGTCCGGACTCCCCACCATGCCGCGCCGTGCACCCACCTCCGCAGCGCTGCTGCTGCTGCCCCCGCTGTTGGCACTGCTGCTGGGGACTGGTGAGTTCAGAGCCCACAGAGGGATTAGGTGGCAGGCCAGTATACCTGGGGCCGGGCTATAGACAGGCGGCTGAGCTTACACGGGGGCAGCACACCTGGTAGGTGCCATGCTGGTGGGCTGCGGTAACGGAGGAGTTGAGATCAGTACCACGGACAGTGCCTTGTTTCATCCCTCCACAGCCTCCTCGGTTCCCCTGGCGCCCAGACCATCCAAGGAGGAGGTGAGAGAGGAGCCCTTCTTTGCCCACCCCATCCTGTTGGGTCCCCTCTGCTCAGCTTCTCCCAGGATCCCCACCTCTTTCTTTTCCCCTGTAGCCACTCTGTTTGCCCAACTCCCTTGCCCTTGACCTCCCTCTAACCTTTCATCCTTGCCCCAGCTAACCCGCTGTCTAGCAGAGGTGGTCATGGAGGTGCTGACACTGGGCCAGGCCCAGAGAGGCCTCTGCACAGCTCTGCTCCACAAAGGTAGGAATCCCTTAGTTCCCCTCAAGCTCCCAACATTTCCCCACCTTCCTACTGGCCCATGGTAGGAAAGTTCCCAGTCCCCCGGGTCAGTGTGGTGCTGCTTCCCCCCACACACACACACGTGAAAGAGCCTGGCTACAGCAAGGGACTAGAGCCAAGAATATACAGCCTGTGACACCCCCTCCCAGTGCCAAGCAGTCCCTTTCATGATGTCAGGAAGGACCCAGAACTCCTGAGCAACCCCATTTCTCAGTTGGCTGCACAAAGAGAACCCTATCTTTCCCTGCCAGAGATATTCGAGACAGAGCCCCATGGCTGTGTGTCCCTTGAGGAGAAGAGGTTACTGGGTGGGGACTTCAACAAGCAGGAGACTGGAAAGATGAGGTCCAGCCAGGAGATAAGGGACAAGGAAGAGGAGGAAGCAGCAGAGAGGACCCACAAGTCTGAGGTGCGAGAACAGGCCATCCATACACAGCTCCACAGCCAGCTTCACCGGGAAGAGGAGAAGGAGGAGGAAGAGAAGAGGCAGCCACAGACGACCTTCGAGCATATGTGGGAGCATCTAGAGGGTGCTAGGGGCCCCCAGAAGCGGGTGGCTGAGAAGGCCAGCGATGAGGAGACGGCCCGGTTTCAGGCAGAGGAGAAGGGCATGCACCTGCTGGGTGGAGGCCACAGCCTGTGGCAGGGGAGAGAGATGGCGGGGGGAGAAGAGTCCTCGAGCCATCGTCACCACCTGGAGCAGCCGGGCACCAAGGCCAAGCAGGAGGAAGAGGCAGAGCAGGAGGCAGCCTCAGAGCAGGAGGTGAGTGGCGGGGCCACTCCAGGGTCACCCAAGGTCTCTTCTAGTACCTGCTGGTGCTGGGCCACAGTGAAACCCACCATGAAGTGGGTCAGTGACCAAGTATGCACCAGGACTAGGTAGCAATGCCCAAGCAAGGACAGTGACCAGGAAGACACCACTAATTACCCACAAACATAAGCATCATCACCGGTCTGTACCAAGTAAGCTCCCACTGAAGCCAGCAGCTACTCTCCTGGTTCACTAGGCTAGTGACAGATACCGTTGGCTAAGCCATGCAAGGTCCAATATATCCCACATGCCAGCAAGGATGCTCAGTGGGTAAAGGCACTTGCTGCCAAGCCTGGTGACCTGAGTTCAATCCCTAGGTCCTGCACTGCATGGCGGATGGAGAGGACTGACTCCCACAGGTTGTCCTCTGACCGCCCCACACATGCTGAGATACGCATGTGCACAAACACACCCACAATAAATGTATAAACTTGTTTTTTAGTTATGTGCTGGAGAGATGGTTTAATAGTTCAGTGCATTGGCTGCCCTTTCAGAGGACCCAGGTTCAATTCCCAGGATCCACCTAGTGACTCTGCAACTCCATTTCCAGGGGATCCTATGCCCTCTCCCGGCCTCCAGGGGCAGCAGGCAGACATGGTGATATACAGACATATATGCCGGCAAACACCCATACACATAAAGTTTTTTTTAACTGATTAAATATAACCTTAATTGGGAGCAGCAATCAAAATGGCCATCACATCACAGATGGGTCACCCAGAGCTGGGATGTAGGTCTGTGGTAGAATGTATACTTAACATGCAATGCCCTGGTTCATTTCCAAGCACTACATAAACCATCTGTGATGATAAACATCTGTAATCCCAGCACTCAGAAAACAGAGGCAGAGGATCAACAGATCAAATGTGAACCTCCATACCGGTCCAGTGGGCAAACAGAACTTTGGGGTTTGGGGGAACAAAGATGGTAGCCATCACTAACCATGACAGACAGCTAGGAAGGGACTTCAGGCCACCAGTGATTTACAGTGGTCACAGAGGTGGTAACCATATTTCTGATCTCCCCCAGGAAGACGATGTGGAGCAGCTAGAGCGCATGAAGGAGCAGCTAAAGAAGGCCACCACCATGCTGGGAGAGGCACTTGGGAGGGAAGGCTGACCCCCATCCACTCCCCTCCTTTCCTGTACACCCTAAGGCTCAGGACTGTTGACCTCAGAGCCCCCATCCCACCAACTGGCAGGGGCTGGGAAGCAAGGGTGTGCCTGAGAACCAAGCCTGAGAGAAGTCTGAGTGGGGCGAGGGCTTGTTCAGACTCGGGACCCCACCCCACCCCTCCATCCCTGAGTGAATAAAGCACAAAGCAAACCGTGGCTCACACTTGGCTCTGGAGGGACGGGACCTGAAATAAGCAGAAGGCACTATCAAGCTGGGTGCTGCTTGTCAGCTTTAAAGTTTTATTAAACTAGAAATTATATTAATATTAAAATTTAAGTCAGGTGGGGTTAGGGTCATCAGGAAGAGGTTTAGGTGCTGGGGAGGGAGGTAGCCGGTTTCGGTTCCTGCCACTGTGGACCACGATGTCGTCATATTCATCCTGGGAAAAGAGAGGGACAGCACAGGAGTCAGGTAGCTGCCACCTTGCCCACTGCCAAGGCCACAGCGCCTAATGGGGTCTCACCGTGACGCCTGCGTTCCCTTGCCCCTCCTTTAACACCCTGAATGCACTATGCTGGAGGTCATGGCTTTCAGTACCACCTTCTCCTACCACTACCCCTTATGTGCGGTGGGTATTAGTCACCTGACACAGCTCTCTCCCCATGCCCCTCTGCCTTCACCCACCTTCAGCCCTCCTCATGCTATGCCGGCCCCTACACAAGGGTGTGCTGTTGTCTGCATTCTTCAGTAATGCTCCCTCACTGCTGGTGGAGGTCTTTCCCGACCATCAGTGTTCCGGCCACTCTGACCATGCTCAGACCCTCACTGCCTGTGCTCACAACCGCCTTCTGGAGGAAGTCTAACTTAGCTGGTCTTTGTGCAATTTTGTTTTTCCTTTTTGACAGGGTCTCACTATGCAGCCCTTGCAGGCCTCAAACACACAGACTACCTCTGCCTCCTGAATCCCAGAATTCAAGGCTATGGTGTTTGCCACCATGACAGATTGCCAAGTCTATGACAGTTTCCCCTCATCTCTGTGTCACTTGTCTGAGTCCCTGGCAGCATCTGCCAGGTTTCTGGTTGTCTGTTTTCCCTGACCCCTCCAGGGGATACCTGTTCCTGACTCACGCCCTCATCTCTGTCGTCACTGTCATTGTCACTGCTGCTGCTGCTGCAAGGGCCAAGCTTATCATCCTCCTCCTCAGGCTCAGGGGCTCCATGTGCACGGAGGAGGCGGGCAAGGACGGGGTTGGGCCGAAGCAGGGCGCTACCAAGTGGGGTGCGGCCCCCATACATGCGGGCAGTGGGGTCAGCACCGGCCTTCAGGAGAAGCTCCAACACGCTGGCTGCCTGGGCTTCCACTGCCAGGTGCAGAGGGGTCCGGCCACAAGTGGGTTCCTGTGGGAGGTGCCAGAGCAGTCAGTGAGAGCACTCAGGGGACAGTGCCTTCCCCCACACTAGCCCACCACAGTGGCTCACCGGTTTATTGAGGTCAGCTCCAGCATCCCGGAGCAGCTGGACCATCTCCGCATCTTTGTGGATGACAGCTACGTGGAGTGGGGTGTGGCCTGGGGACAGATGACAAGTTAAGGAGCCTCAGCTGTAATGACCCGAGGGAAGGGTACCAGGTTTGGGGCCTGAGCTCAGGTGTCAGCATGCTGGCAGGGTAAGCCTGAGTGGTGCAATGTCTGGATCTACAAGGAGGAGCCTGGGGACTCGGAATGAGAGCACTCACTCTGTGGACCAACAGAACCAAGTCTGAGGTCTTCCTTCACAAAGAACAGCTCTTGAGTTCCACCCCCAGCATCATAAATAAAACAAACAAGGACAATAACAACAGAGGTCCCACAAAGGACCGGGGACACTGGCTATCAGGTGACCTCAGCCTATTTATGGTGAAGCCAGGTTCTTTTCCCATGAGGCCTGAGTGAGGAGGGTGAACTCTGCACTGTACTCTCTGCCCAGGGCTAGGAGCGTGGGGTGGATCCTCTCATCCCAGTTCAGCCTAACACTTGGGAACAAACAGTTCTGGAGGGAAGGCACCTTGCAGGTAGGTAGTCCAGGCTCAACCACTGTATCCATGCATTTCTGAATCTGTGGGTTGGCTATCTGGGATGCAAGTGGTTTGATGACCAGATCTGGGGAAGAGGAGCCCTGTGTATCAATTCTTAATACTCCTGGGGTCCTTGGTCCAGAAGCTGGGACTTCTGGAGACTTAGGATGATTTTGCTTTTAGGAGCTGGTTTTGCTTTCAGGGTTTTTTGTTGTTGTTGTTTTGTTTTGTTTTGTTTTAAACAGGGGCTCACGATGTAGCACAGGCTGAAGCTGACCTTATGATGTTTCTGCTTCAGGCTTCTGTCACCCAAGTGCTGGGATTATAGGCACATATAGCCATGCCCTGAGAAGGGTGTGTGAGACAGGGTCTCCTGAACCTAGACTGATCTAAAACTAGCTAGATAGCACCAAAGATGACCTTCAACTCCTCCTGATCCTCTTGCTTCCACCTTACAAGGGCTGGTATTATAGGCATGTGCCACCATGCCCAGTTTATGCTGGGGATTGAACCCAGGGCTCTGTGTATGCCAGATAAGCACAGCGGCTGGGTTTCAAGTCGGGTAATAGCCAGGGAGTTCTTGTCCTTCCCAGGGCCCAGGGCCCTCACCCTCATAGTTTTCTGCTTCTAGCTGCAGCTTCCAGTCGTCATCACTTGGCTCCTCTTCGTTCTCTGGGTTAAGTTGAGGGTTCACAGCAACAGGGTTTTGGCTGGTGTCTGGGGCATGGTCCTGGCTCTGAGTGAGGTAGGTATCTGAGGCATCCCTTGGACATCTGGGGCGGGGCTGGAGCAGCACGCATGCGCACGTGTGTGCCCTCATGCGGCAGGCCAAGTGCAGCGCGGTGTGGCCCCCTCTCTCAGTCACCAACACTCCTGCGCCGGCTGCATACAACTTCTCTACCGTGGATGCCTCCCCAAGGATGGCTGCTAGGTGCAGGGCTGTCTACAGGGAGAGAGAGCAGGGGTTAGGGCCACAATGACAATCCTGGACCAGGCTCCCTAAAGTGACCATCCCCAATAGCTCACTTGGCCTAGGTCATTCTGCAGGTCTAGGTACTCAGTGCCGGCAGAGAAGCCCAAGAGGAAATCCAGGAAGGGCTCATGCTGATGTATCACGGCCAAGTGCAGGGCCCTGGGGACAAAGGGAGAGGTCAATAAACAAGAAGCTACAAACTGTGGCCACCGTTGGAAACATTTCAGTGTCCGGGTGTCAGGGGCAGGAGCTACTTTGGTTGGTTGGTTGGTTGATTGGTTGGTTGGTGTTCTGAGATAAGACAAGGGTCTTCAGCCAGGCAGTGGTGGCATATGCCTTTAATCCCAACACTTGGGAGGGAGAGATAGACTAATCTCTTTGAGTTTGAGGCCAGCCTGATCTACAAGAGTTAGTTCCAAGACAGGCTCTGAAGAAAAAGAAAAAGAAAAAGAAAAAGAAAAAGAAAAAGAAAAAGAAAAAGAAAAAAAAAGTGTTTACTAAGGAAATTAGCCAGCTCAAATTCCAGTACCTGGAGAAGTTGAGGCAGGAGGATTGTTACTTCCAGGCCAGACTGGGCAACATGGTGAGTTCTAGACCAGCAGGGTCAAATACTAAATAATGAGATTTGGTCACCAAGAACAGCTGGGCATGGTGGCATGTGTGAAAGAGGCAGAGGCTGGTGGGATCTGTGAATTCCAGGCTAGTCTGGTCTGCAGGTGAGTTCCAGGTCAGCGAGGGCTACATTGTGAAGCCTCATCTCAGATAATAACAAAGCAAAGACCAAATGAGGCAGACAGCGAACATCGACCAATGGCTTCCACACACAAATATATACACACAAAGACAAACTAGGTATAATGTCCCCAGCTTCTAATCTTAGCACTTCAGAAGCTGAGGCAGAGGATCACAAGTTTAAGACCAGCCTGGGCTCCACAGTGAAGCCCTGACACAAAAAACAAAATACAAAAAAGTGGAAAGCAAGGGTTGGGGCTGGGATGTGGGTTGGGGAGCACGTGCCTAACATGTGCACCTCAGGCTTGACTGACAACACACACACACACACACACACATACACGCACACACACACACACGCACACATACACACACTCGCACACACGTACACACACATACACACACGTACACACGCGCGCGCACGCACACACACACACACACACACTATGGCTCTAATAATAGACCTCCAGATTACATAAAGCAAAAGCTAACAGAATGAAAACCAACAGAAGAATCCACAGACTTGGAGATTTCAATAAGTCTCTGTCACGAATTGTTCGAGGAAACAGAAAACGTCAGCAAACTTGGAGACAGCAGACTTGGAGAGCAGGGTGTGTGGTTGTTGCTGTCTTGTTTTCGCAGTAGTGGATGGAACCGAAGGCTCCATGCATGCATGCAGGGAAGCACACGCTCATCAGCCTCTTTGTTCCCTTTATTTTGCGACAGGGCCTTGCCATTCATGTTTCCCAGGCTGGACTTGAATTCTGAACATGAGAATCCTCCTGCCTCAGTCTTCTTTGGAGCTGGAATTACACGCCGAGCTTTGAACAACACTGCTAATCAACATTACCTCTAAATCAAAGATTATTTATTTATTTAGTGCATGTGTGCCTGAATGGATGGATGCACACGACGTACACACGGGAGCTAACAAACAGAGGCCAGAAGAGGGCATCAGACCCCTGGAAACTAGGGTTATAGATAGTTGTTAGTTGCCATGTGAGTGCTGGGAACTGGACTGGGTGGGTCTTCTGCAAGAGCAGCTAGTGCTCTTAACCAGCGAGCTACCGCTCCAACCCCATTTTATAAACTCTTTATAAGTGCGCACATAACACTCAGGGTCAATTTCTGGGCCAAAAAACCGAGTCTCAGTAAATCAAAATGAATTGCCATAGGAACACCATTCCTGATGGAGTACTTGCCTAGCACTCAGGAGGCCTGGGTTTGATGCCCAGCACTGAAAGAGAAACTAGAGAGTGCAAATCAAGCAAAGAATATTCTCTGTCCACAGTGAAACAAAACAAAAACCAGTAACAGAAAGACATCTGGAAATTCCTCCAAGGATGGAAAATGAACATGCTTCTTCATAATCTACTGGCCAAAAGAGAAATCAAGAGAAAATAGAAAATAAACTCAATTAAGCGAAAACAAAAACA